GATCCCGTTACAATTTGTAACGAGGAGGGAGACCAATTAGAGAACGGGGGCAGATCGACATCGACCTATCGGAATGTTCGATCTGGGACTCAGAAAAACTTATAAAAATCGCGCAAAAATAGGATGTGACGTTCTTGGTTACTAAGTTCGGTGTGCTCCGCTTCTGGATTTTTCCTGCGGTTCGTCGTCCCGAAAGAAGTTTTCGCCATCCTGTCCCAGCAACTTTCGCCAAGGATAATCTACTGTGAGAATCACCCCTTCAAGTTGTGCTGTGCACCCCGGAGCCTACGTTTTCCTCATCATCTTCGCCAAAAGAAGAGAAGATCGTAAGATTGAACTTTGAACTGATTCACTCTGTGGATAGGCCTTACGCCGAAGAAAACAGTAGTTGTAAGAGAAATTTTTATATTTAATAAATAGTTTGCGATGGAAGACCTGTCTCAGTAAGTTTTTCCACTCCCACACGACAGTGCTGACCGCTCGACTGTCGCGACACTTTTTCCCCAATCGGCAAACCTCGCACTGGTGTCCCAGAAGTGGGATTTTAAGTCCCCAATTTCCACAGGGTCAACGACTTCGCATATACAAATATTATTTATTTGAATTTTAAAATATAGCACATGTTTTTAAAACAAATCCAAGTATTACAGATTTAATCAGAAATAAGTATTTATGTATAAATTATATATTGAACATGGTTTTACAGCAAAGTATTTTTATTAATTATTTTTTCATTCTTATAATAATATTAAAATATCAATTTAATTTTATATCTTAGGATATTTAAAAAATCAATGCATAATTTCATAAATTTTACTAATCAGAATTTTATTAGTAATGTATACTATATTGTCATACAAGGTTTTTAATTAACATGGAAATAGAAGCATAAAAAATGTGAATGTGTGCATGTATGAAAGAAGAAATAAATATTTATATAAATTTATGATTATTTAGATTATGTAACAAGACTTTTCATAATAAAATAAATTTTATTAAAACACAATATTTTGAATATCATTTATTATTTTGAATAAGTATGAGATAAATTTTGGTTTTTATTAAATCAAAATTTAATGAAATTGATGGTATATTTTATCTAAATAGTTTTAAAATAGCTATAAAAAGAAATATATATTCATTATTGTTCAAAATGAACTTGTTCTGTTTGTTTAAATATCAATATGTGAATATTATGTGATAACTGTTCTACAGACCAACTGGATGGGCTTCGTGTAACAAAGAGGAAGCATTCATCTTTGGAGGATTATTTGCAATTGCCTGATGATTATGAGCAAAGAGAATCTCAACCTGGCAAAAAGAGAGTGAGTTTGACTTATTAATCTTGACATTTTGATAATTATTAATTTAAGATATAAATTAAATAAAAAAGTATTACATATAAATTTAAATTTTAAATATAAAGGTTTGTTACTTTAGTTACCGAATGAGATGCTTAAATTTTTTATTCTTAAATTTTTTTAAACTTATAATTTTACCATTTTAAGTTTCGTAATTCCGATCTGAAAGCTAAATAGTATTGGAAGTTACTCAGAGGTAGCATAATTATTTAGTATTTCTTATTATTAATTTACTTAAATTTTATTTAGTATCATACCAGGATAATTCATATGTGAGAACATTGGTTTAATTTGCTATTTTCTGGTCTGTTTGATTCTTGACTTTATTCCTTTTGATGATCTAACATTTTTTTAAAGCCTTAAGGCCAATTGGATTCGTTTTTATGTAATAAGACTACAGATTTTGAAATATTAGTGGAATTATTTAAAATGCATAAATGATTAATTCCAACATATATTGTTTTAATACTATACATCAAAAACAAAATTATATTAAACTAAGATGTGTATCATTCTGTTGATTAATTTTTTCATTAAAATTTAATTTGAATAAGTTTTACACAAAATTATATTAAAAATATCAGCAGATTCAAAACAGGTACTTATCTGTCAAAGCCCCACATAATACATTGCATTGTGTTGCATGTTGTTTTCCAAGGTCATACCATGTCAGAGAAATGTAGGTGAGCTTGAACAGGTGAATGAATGAATTTTAATTACAGTCATTTTGTTGCAGTTCTTTATCAAGTGAATTCCAATTAGAACAGTGTCATGGATGTGTATGCTGCTGTTTTATATTTAAGTGGATCCATAAACAATGCAGAAGAGAAATACAGAGAATACAGAGATTCAGCAGAGAAATACAGCAATCTTACTTCATCACCTAATACTTACTGAAAAAAATTGTTTATTAAATAAATGTTTTCAACCTATTATCATAGGCCATCTTCAGGTTTTTCAATAATAAATTGTTACAAAAATGAAATATTCAGTTATCGGAATTTACATTGAAAATTTCAAACTATAAATTTAAACTTGAACAAATAAATGTATAATGAACAAAATACAACTATCAAAAATAAAACTAAATAAAAAATATTAGATAAAACTTCTAAGGAAATATAACATAAAAATTAAAGTAAAATCAAAATTGATTGCAGGGTCATTATGACTTAAGGGTTTTATGCCCTAATTTATTTTCTATTATGTATTTTAATGCTGAGGGCAATGTATTTGCATCGCTGGCTTGGTACCTATATACCAACTTTTGACATTTTCTTTATTCTTAGTAACTAAAATTTTATATGCCTCTTCTTCTGAAGGTGGTTGTGCATCGGCAATATAAACTTTTTAAGGTAAGGAATTTTAAGCCAAGTCCCCAAACTTTTGGATCATACTATGTATAGGGCTTGTGAGAAAAATGTAAGCATAAACTACAAAGATAGTAACACCCTATCTCAAACCTGGATATCACTTTTTGAGGTCAAGTAATAATTTCTACCAATCAGCACCATAACACCATCATCCAATCAGATCGACTTTTCTTCCTTTAAAAAAAACAGCATTTGATTTTCCTATTTTTTTCAAACTTTACTTATGTAACATAATGATGAATGCATAAAACTATTGAAAACATTTGTTTTTTTCTCATTAAAGTTTTGTTTTCTGTTGGAGTTTTGGTTGTTCTTATGATAATTTGAAAATTGTTTTCATTTATGTTATAAAAGAATAATTAAAGTTTAAATATTTTACAAAAATTATATAACACTTACTGAAAGTTATAAATACTTTTTTATAATTTTTTGTCTGTGTACTTTTGTATCAATAAATAATAATACAGTATATTGAAATCATTATAAAAAAACATTTTCAAAGCAATAATTATTATAAAAAAACTGCTGTTTTCTAGGTTATATCATATATTTGTAGCTTTTATTATTTTATTATTATTATTATTATCCAGGATTTTGGTATTGTATTGATATTTTGTTAAAATAATACCATTTGCTGTAAATCTACAGTTTCATCAAAATTATTTTTAAACAAAAATATCATATTATTTATTTATTTATTTATCTTCTTAATATTATTTATCACCTTCTCCTTTTCACCCAATTGCATTGCATGATTGTCAGCATACTAAAAAGGATTGCATACTTTCTATATTTAGTACTTTAATAGACCTCCTTTACCATAACATAACTTTCTTGCACTGTTTCTTTCATTAGAGCAATGTTTGCATCAGTGAAAGATAAATATGGATGCCCTGACCAATTTCATTTGCAATATTGGTCTTCTTGTTTTGAAATTCTTTATGCCATCACTATACACTTGTTTTTGCTATTCCATTGCTCACCATAGACTGAAATTATTTCACTATGAAGTTGAGAGGCATTTTATCCTTTCATCTAGGAAAATTGAATGACACTATGTTGCTCATATGCAGTTGATAATTGCTATCCACTTACCATTTTCAAACTTCTGAATCTGAGGTTTCCAGATGAATGACACCGCACAAGATCTTAGAAAAAGATCCAATCTTTCATGTTCTTATGTAAAATAGTTTTTCTCGTAGAAAACAAATAAAAACTGATTTTTGCACACTTTTTTATCATGCCTAATATGTAGTTCAAATGTGTTTTCTTTCCTTATAATCAAAATCTACAAACTTTTTCATGTGTTTTATGAACCTTTCAATTCATTGTCATGTAGTCTGTTATGAAAAGTTTAGATACCTATCTAGTATTTTATATTATTATTTTCACATGCAAAATAATTATTTTAGAAAATTTTTTCTTTAATATTTGTATTTTTATTTTTTAAATAATTTTGATGAATAAATTGAAAACAAAATCTTTAGATTATGTATTTTGATTCATTTTTCCTTCAGTTTCCTAATGAAAAGTTCTGAAACATTAATCATTTTTTATTTTTTAATATTAACTGTGTTATTAATAAATTTACTTAATTTTTTTTAAAATTTAAAACTTAAAATTTGTTATACAATATATATAACATCAAATATAATTTATTTTTTAATGGCAAGTGTAATTTTCTTGTATAAATAGGTTAGATGGGCAGATATAGAAGAAAGAAAACAGCAAGATCGTATCAGAGCAATTGGATTTGTTGTTGGTCAGACAGATTGGCAGAAAATGACAGATCCCACTCATGCTGATAAAGCTCTTACTCGTACCAAGTATTTTTAACAAGAAGAAAAATTTATTAGAATTTCCATTACAAATTATTATCAAGCATTTCTCATAAATATTATTTGTAAATTTATTGTCATCTGGTGTGTCAATAAATGTCATTTTGAAAGATTAAAATTTGTTTGTTTTTATTGTATTAGTTTTTTAAAATAATATTTCATCAATAAATGGAACAAGTGCAATGAAATGAAATTTATCTTGATTTTTTTCCCAATATTATAATAATTATTATTTCATTTTAATTTAATGATCATATAAATTATTACTATTGATTTTGAAAAAGATTTAAAACAAAATATTGATTTAATTAATATTATGTCAAATTTGAATTTATTTAATATTTAGTTATTAGAAATATTTTTGCATAACTGCTTTATTTATCATATTTTTTACAAAATTGTTTCTATTAAAAAAAAGGTATCAAAAAAAGGACATTTTAAATAGTTTAACAGTTTTCATTATTATTTTATCTGTATTGAAAAATTTATATATTTTAAAGGTGTAACAGTAATTAAAGTTAATAAATATTATTGACTATTTATAATTTAATATATTGCAATAAATTTTTATCCAAGTTATTCTGTAACATAATATTTCCCCCTCCTGTAACATGGTATTATTTAAATTAAATAATAGTATATTAGAGAAAAATTTTTCATATTTAATTATGTAACTATATTTACTTATAATAATACTTTCAGTAATTTTATCAAGTATTATTATCTTTATGCCAGAACATACAATGAGTAAAAATGTATCAAACTATTATCAAAATATTATTAAAAAACACAATAAAATCTATTATTGAAAATCTTGAATTTGCAAAAATTGTATAATTCTCAAGTATAGTAATATGCTACATTATATGCTAAAAATCATTATTAGATTTTCAAGTATTTCATTGAATTTTAATAATAAATCTTAGATGATGATGCACATACATATACCATACAAACCAATGTATAAACATTATTATGCTTACCAGAAAAAATATGAAAATATTGCATTTTTATTTGTAAGTACTATTAGCACATGGATTTTTAAATTATTGTTTGTTTATAAGAATATATTTTATTTTCTAACTCATACTATCAAATTAAATACCAGTTTAATTTTGCTTATTTCATTCCTATATTTATATTTCATCAGGAGTAATATACAAGTAATCATATTACATTCAAATGCTTTAGTTTTATTTCAATGTTATTATAAACATTAAATTTTTTAAAACTTATTTTTACTAATATTTAGTTATAAGTGGTATTGATGAAAATAGTTTTTTTATTTGAAAAAGCTTCAATGTCATCCCACCTCATCAAAGTTTTAATGAAAAACTTTTTATTGCTATTTTTCATTAATATGACATAAATTAAAATATTCCGGTCTTTTAACAAGTTATTTATTCTAATAACACTGTAAACAGTTAAATGCTATTATTTATTTTTATACATTTGTAGCACTTTCACAAATATAGTACAATCTTGGTAATCCAATATATATGGAACCAGAACAGTGTTGGATTAAAAAGATTGCTGGGTTACTGGAAGTAGGAAGTAAGGTGAATTCAATGACACACAAATGAACTGGATGGTGTGAAGTCAACTATTAATGATGTAGCAAAATACAAGTTGGACTGCTAATCAAAATATTCAAGTATGTTGCCATTGCCAATAATCTGTGTTGCCAAGTTGGTGGATTCTCACAAAATTTAGCAGGAAATTTAAATGAAGATACAGTATTTTTGGTGGAAAATTTTCAGAAAACTGATTTTTATATTTATACAGTATTGTGTTATAAGAAACTACCTTTTTTGAGTAGCCTAAAATGACAAACCTAAAGTACCCAAGATCAAATGTTCAAACCTGGACTCAATATCATTCCATGTTTATTAATTGGGAAGGTTCAAATTTAGTGAGAACTGGAATTTGAATTAGTGGAAGTTTGTCTACAATTTTGCAACAATATCAGTAATATCTGATAGTTGACTAGTATCAGATTACAGGATGTGTCAAATTATTGATAGAAAGCAGCCAGATTATCATGGTTGTACTGTTCTTCAAAAATATGTTGCAAAATAAAATGATTCAGTTTTATTATTATTTTTTCAATGATCTTTTTCAGTATTTAATCAGATAATATATTGAAGCAGAAATTGATAATTTATTTAATGATGACATTCATTTTATAAATACCCTTTTTGAATTTTTATAGTCCCTTTTTTTTTTTTAACTAATAAGTTAGAGTTACTTATTTATGTTTTATTCCTGATTAAAATTTCTCAGATGTATTAAAATGATCATGTAAAAAGAGTACACATAATTTTATGACAGTTGGCATTTTAAATGCAAATTTTTTACATCATATGTTATAGTGTGATAAATTTTATAAAAGTTAGCCAATTTTTTTTAACAAAAACTACTGGATGTTTCAAAAGTTTCCTCATAGAACACAGACCATCCAAACAAACACACTTTGATGCATATGTGCTCATAACATCAGATGTATTAATATGCATTCATCATGAGTGGGAGGAATGCATCTGTACATGCTTTCAGTTAAATGTTATTCCTATAAGTGACTGTATAATAAAGGGAATCTTTTGCCTATGCGGGGAAACTTTTGAATCACCTTGTATTTCTTTCTTATATATTGTTCAAATATGCAGATATTTAAAAACAAGTTGAAATATCTGAATTTTGCAAAATTTTATTTTGATATTGTATATTTCTTCAAAGATTCTATGCAACCATGAGTATTGATGATTGGAAGCAAATTCAAAAATGTATAATGCTGACAAATGAAATTGGCTAATATAGAGAGATTGATTTCTCATTTATAGGCAGAGCAATTAGGTATGATGCATTAAAATCTTCATCTCTTTCCTAAATAACTGAATTGCAAAATAAAGTTAGTATGCGGTGCACTGTTTTCTGACATTGGATTATTGATCATTTTATTATTATTATTTTAGTTAATTATACAGTAAAATCAGTTTTTACTCTAGAAGTATAGTTTGCAATTTATTGAGAGTTTCTAAGCTTTCTGGCATTTACCACTAGCAAAGTAATATTCAAAATAAACATGCATTTTATTACAGAAAATATTAATTTCGCATGTTTATAATTATGTATAGCTGGTGCTATTTTTATACAGAATAATGATACCACTAGACCAAACATAACATAAACCATTAGACCATAACATGTAACTTAACAATAAAATATATACACACTTTCATTTATAATAATGTATTCTAAGATACAAATATCCTGATAAACAAACCTTTCAAGTATCTTATAACCAAAAATCATGAGGGGATCCATTTTGGTGATCATGATATCCATGCTGTTGGAAATGATTGGCTAATCACTCTGATTTGTAAAGTTCTGATGAAATCACCTTTACGTGTTGATGAGTATATGAGAGGGTGCTCCATCTTGCGTAAAGATTGTAGTATCTAAACAATTTCATAGCTGAAGTGCAGTGATTATAAAGTTTTAAATCATGTATTCATACCTAGTGGCATTGACAAAACATGTCACTGGCCCAGATACAGTGTTTCTTTCAAGAAATACAGTCCACTGAATGAAAAGTGTTGTAATTCTGTACTATACTGTAATTTTTGGTGGAAAACACACATGTTTATCCAAAAATTCCCTTGCATATGCAAGGGAATTTTTGGATAAACATGTGTGTTTTCCACACATTTATCAACAACCAGACCAAACTAGCAGTCATGAATGTTCATCACATCATTTAAGTAAAAATGGGGGCTTAATCAGTTAATAGAGTTTGCCAGGGCATGAATCATCAATCATCCTCCTAGCTATGAATGGCATATCAAATGATTTCTGCTGAGCCACCATCAGGAAACAATTTGTGACTATGAGATATCTTGTAGGGGCAAAACTGCAAGATTTTCAGTAGGGTAGGGCATGTACAGTACAGTACAATTGCTGTGATAATGCATGTGCAGTATAGTTGCCTTAAGAATTCTCCATTTGCTGCTCCACTAACATGATTGCCACTTCCTCCATTTTCTTCAGTTCCACTAGTTTGTAACTCCTTCCTGTTTTCATATTTAAAGTTTATTTGCTCAAAAATGCAAAATCATTTTCCTGAAATTAGTAATAGTCAAAAGACTTTAAACATCAGAATTTCTTGAGTATAGCACTTGCATTGGTGCTTCTTTGATAGTAAAGTTTAATGAGTAATGTGCAACCAGGTAATGTAAGCACCATGATTTGTCATTAATTCATATTGAACACACTTTCCAACTCTATAAACACTAAAGTTTTTTTACAACTTACATAATGTGTAAATTGCAGTGGCATTAGCACCAAATTTTCTCCTATCAGAACATTTTGGAACTTAACTTTTTATTTGTGAAATTAAAATGTCATGATAAAGAAAGTATGCACACCAAAATTGATTGCATTTGCCCAAATAGCTCTTTCTACACAGTGCTCTAAACACCACCTGCTTAATTATAACCATCCTGTATATTGTAATCAATTACTGTGCCTATGTACTATAAAACAATATGGCATTGATGTTTAAGTGTATTGAACTTCAAATCAGCATTTAATATTTTAATTAATTATAGTGATATATAACTAACAAACTGGTTACTATGTTGTAACAGAAATTAAATGTTTTTATGAGCTATAAATTTTAATGAACAAGCACTTTTGATGCCAAAGGATTATTTGTAGGTTACACAAAAGATCAAACTTTTAAAATAAAACATTCGGAATGAAATAAATATGTCATTACAAAAGTTAATGGTTAAGTAAAAATACATAAATAAGTATAAGGCTAATAAATAAATACAATAAAATTACTATCTCAAAACAGGAATATCTAGTGTCTTTCAATATCTAATAGCAATCATTTTTATATGTGAAAAACCAATCACTATAGAAGTTGTCAATGTTTTTAATAATTGATATGTTGCCTGATTGTTGACTCTTTGTAAGTTTGTATCTTTTTTTTCATTCTTGTTTTTGCCCTCATACTGTAAAAGTATTAAAGAAGTGGAAGACAGTTTCACTTCTTTAATACTTTTTGCTTCTTTTCACATACATTGTTGTTGGGTTGTAAG